AATGAGGGAATGGTGCACGACCACGACCACGACTTAACTTTTTTCGACTAAATCATCTTAACTGCACTTGCTCTTTTTCCTGCGTCTGCATTTGGGTCCAACCTCTTGTTTGCCTGGTTTCCCTTTGACAACTGTGTGACACTTTATTATATATATCATATATCATATTCAGTTTAACTCTGTTTTCTATCCATGTAGCTACAGATTGTAATGTTGATTTCTATTTAAAACTGGGTTAAAGTCTAAAACCTCTTTTTCAAGCAGCCAAAATGTGGTAAAATGCAGATATTGTGTCACAAAATACAAATTTGTTTAATCATTTAGAATTACAAAAGTTTGCAGAAAAATGGCCAAACGTCACAGAGAACAAAATACTAAATTTACCAAAAAGAAGCCTATTAAGTATTTATAATCGTTAAAAATATAAAAACAACACATAAAACAGACTATATTTTAATTATATAAAAAGTTGCTAAAAATATCAGTAAAACTCATCTCTGATCAATATTCACATCTAAATCTCTGGTTTTACACAAACTGACAGATTATGTTTCAGTCCAGATTCTTGAAATACCTTCAGAGCAGCTGTGAGTTTGTCTTTCCACCGTGACTCGAATGTAACGCCGATACACGAGAGGCCTCGATGGTTTTATGATGCTGTTAAACCAGACCACACCCTGAGGTCCTCATGCAGCTGGAATCAGGTTTCACAAGGACCTCAATGCGGATTGTAAAGCAGGGACACAAACTGTACATAAACAGGGATGATGAGCCTCTCCTGCAGGTGTACATTCCTACATCATCAGCTAAAAGCTTCACATATGAGCTCAGAAACACATAAAAATAGCAATCAAACTACTAAACCAACAAAGTCACTGACTCAGCGTGGCGTACTTCCTCAGACGGTTGTTCCAGAGTCTTATTTCAAAGCCCCGTCCCTCCTTTAGTCTTCAGCCAAGAGTCTGGAACAGCCAGAGGATCTCAAACAGGCCTCTTCCACCAACTTCCACCAACCACCTTGTTTTTTACTAAAACCAAATCGGTTCAAATATCAGGCTTTTTTGTGGGAACCAAAGTGGGCTGGACGGGTTTGCCAGGCAGCACTGAGGTTTAAAGAGTCTCTGATGGATCCAGTTCAAGAACCAGAGTGTTTGAGTTTGAGCAGATAAAAGATCTACGTCAAACTGATGATTCAGACCATTTAGTGCCTTTAAGATAATTTGTGCCGTTGGTGGAAGTGTTGACTGAGCTCCACAAAGCACAAATCAGATCAATTTCCTTAAATCAGTCAAAATGTTGGGTTTAAGTTTCTTTTCATACTATATTTAGTCTTTGGGGCACATTGGGTTATACAGAATTTTCTTAAAATGGTAGAAAATTTCCTGAATAAACAGTAAAAACAGGGATTTTATATTATTTTCAGTTTTATAACTGCAGTTACTTATTAAAACCATCACTTATTTTTCACTGATCTTCCAAAATGATTAAAAAAATACAGAAAATGATTTTTACAAGGATCTTTCATTTGGTGTTGATTCTGGCGCCCCCTGTGGACAAAACCGGTACTGTTTCTATTGCCTCATTTAATTGATTTCAAAGGGAATTTAACCCACTTGCAGACATTAAGAATATTAAGAGTAACTTTATATAAATATCCGATCTTCTCAGTGATGGCTTCAGTACTAAATAATAATGTATTATATATGAAGTTAAAAACTGCTTTTTGTACATTTATATATATATATATATATATATATATATAAGTGTGTGTGTGTGTGTGTGTGTGTGATTACGATCCTGTAAACAGAAATGAGGGACACAAGAAACAAATCCAAACTTATTTTCTTCCACATTTGACTTTATTGTTTCTATTCCACAGTTTGTGTGAAGTGTTTCCCTGAATGTGTGGAGTTTAAGACTTGGTGTTTGTGTGTGTGTGAACCTGCAGAAACCCTCCATCCATCCCTCCATCATCCCTTCATCATCCCTCCAAACAAAGTACCAAAGAAAAACGAAAGAAGACAACGTGCGCTACCTGGTCTGGTTCAACACGTTTAAGACACGTTGGAGTTCATATAAACAGATAAGACAAAAAACAAGCGGCAAAGTTGTTTAGGAAGTCTCGAACATCTTCTTCCTGTCAGCTTTGTCCTCGATGTTCTTACGCCAGTCGCCCACAGCCTCTGTCGGCTGCAGAGGAGGAAAAACACATTTTAAATCATCAGGTTTCTGACTATATCAGGTTCAGTCCTCAGAGGAAAGAAATAAAGAACCCTTAATGAGGGAAACTAATTAATTCAACACAATAAAAACTAATAACACGTTATTTTTTCAAACTGGATCATTAATTTTGTTTTATTTTTAGTCATTTAGTCTGAAAAAAGTGCTACAGATTGAAACTGACTTCATATTTTCATATTTTCGACAATATCTGCATATAAAATATGTATTGAAGTTTACAAATATAACTTATTTTTATATGTATGTGTATTTTCTTATTTAGTGTGCGATCAATAAAGTTTATCTTATGAATGTGAAAAGAACAAATGATACGCTGATTGTTCTGATTGATTACTGATGTTTTAACCCCGTCTTTCTACTGAACATCATGGTCTTCCTTGTGGACAGATAGAGGGCGCTGTTTGGTGTAAAACCCTTTAATGGATCATTTGTGAGCTTAGATTAAAAAGAAATGCATAAACAGAAAATCTGTCTAATTAAACATTCAGCTTTTCATTCAATACTGATCAATATGAAACCAGTGTTTAATATACAGGAACACTTTTCAGTCAGATATTAAAACACTCAGATAATTCACAATCATCAATAAAAAACATATTTTTTTATTGATTTCCAGCAGACAGCAGTTATAAAGCAGTGAATAGTTTGTTGTGTTTAAATTAATTCCTCAACAATAAAAGCTGTTTTTAATTACCACTTAATTAATATTTGGTAGGATAAACACAAGTTTTTCTACGTTATTTATGTGAATAATGTATCTTGCAACCATACAGAGTGTTACTGTAAATGTACGTCAGCTAAACGATAAAAAATAGTAGATAAAATATGATAAACTCACCTCCTCTTTCACCTCCTTCTTAACCTGCTTCAGGTTGGACCTCAGGTCCATGTTGACCGTGTGCTTGGAGCCCAGCAGAGCCTTCAGCATGGTGTCAGCGGACATACGCACTTTCTTCAGGGCGGGTTTCTTCACGCCTCTCAGATCCACCACTTTGATCTTCAGGTCTTCGATCTACGAGAGGAGATTCTGGTTTTTATTGTGTTTTAACAACGAGGGACGATGTTGAGTCCGCCAGGGGGGAGAGTTTACCTCTTTGTCGGCCTTCTGCACTTTGGCCTCGATGTCGTACCTCTCCTCGTCGATCTTGTCAATGAGGGCGTGGAGCTTCTTGCAGACTTCCTGTGGATGCACGCATTGTTCAGGTTACAAAGATGTACGTGTTAGTGTGTCAGATATCTGAAGCTAAAGCTGGAAACAGAAAACTAGAGTAAAGTTAATAATATTAATTCTTCCTGAAGCAGCTTCGTACGTCACATTTTAAAGTGAGGATTAAATGAAGTTGGTTTCCCTTTATTTAAATAGTTTATGAGTTGATTTAGGCACAAACATGTTTATTAATCGCTATATATTCTCTATAATCTGTTAAAATGTGCGTATAAATACAGACAAAGCAAATGTTACAAATACTCTAAAGTTAGATGGACAATACAAATATAAACAACACATTTCAGCCTCCAGAATGTGAAGAAGTTAATAAAATCTACACTGAATCTAACATTAGTCTAGTCTCCTTGTGTGATTATTGATTACTGATTACTGATTATTGATCACTGATGCCGCTCTCACCATCAGGGCAGCCTGGTCTCCGGACAGTTCCGGGGAGGGACAGTGCTCGGCCATGTAGGCCTCTTTGGCCGCTACAGCCTCCTTTCGCTCCTGTTCGATCCAGTTCGCCGCGATCTGGAGAATCAAGCTCTGCAGGGAACAAACAGGGAACTTCATGTAAGATAACAACTATCTTTAATTAATTTTATAATAATTATTCTAATAAAATAATTAAAACATGATCTGAAAGGTTGTAGAGTAATCTGCCGGAGAAAATAGTCCTCGACAGATGCAGTATTTTTGCTAGGATTGCTTTTATCCAAGATTGTAAGAAATGCTGCTATAATTAAAAATAAATGTTTTAAGCTTACCTTCAGGTGATGCTTGCGGCTGGAAGTCAGCTTTTTCCTGTTTGGGAAGAAATCAGAGCAACATTAACCGATAATTATATGAATATTTACAACTAATTCATCATATATTCACTCTGAAATGCTTATTTTCTTATTAATTAAAGATAAACACACGTTTCCAGTGCTGTCAGTGGTGTATAATTTATAGATAATATTGTTAATTATTACCAACAAACCTACAAAAAACACAATTTTAGACTTTATAATTGATGTTTAATGAACTCCAGACTTACTCAGACATCTCTGCGGCTCCTGCAGTTCACAACCTGCATGAAGACACATTGAGGAGGAAACGTTTGAGTATTTCTGACCCGTCAGGATGTCGGCATTGAGGTTCTCTGAGATCAGCATGTTCTGCCACTCTGATGGAGATGGATGGTTGGGAATATTTGTGTCCCGTAACGCGATCTGAGACCACAGCTGAAGAGCAGCGACGTCGACTGAACTAAATCTGGGATGGTCGGGATCGGGTGTCTCGTCTTGGCTGTTTACGACCGGATCGGGACGAAGGGTTAATCTGAAAGATTCTCCAGTCGAGTATCAATTAAATAAAGTTCATCTTTAAAGTTCATCCTTCTATAATCACTCTGGATGTTACATTAAACATATTATTTATTAAACATACATCTCTTAATGATCAATTAAGTTCCACATTTATCTTTAATTTAAGTTTTAAAGTCTGACAGACCCAAATTTACCACCTTTTTAAAAGAAATATTTACATTTCAGCTACTTTTAACAGGATAAAACCCTGAAATCTGCAACATTTATAAACTATAATGCTAAAAATCTGATAAATAACAGCCAAAAGTACATTTTGTTATTACTTTACTTTACTAATAAAACACAAATGTACCACCTTTTAAAAGTTCTATTTCCTTTTTTTGAGTTTCTCTTAACAGGATAAAACACTCAAAGCCAAGAAATACATTTACTTATTAATTATAACTAATAATATCTACCGCCCATATTAATTAAACAGTTAATAAGCACCTAAATTTGTCCAATCATTGTCATAAATGAGCTTTAAACTAACATTTTAACGTCCCTTGTGGCAGAAATTTAAGCACTTAAACTGAATTAATTTGGATATTTGTCAAATAAAAAGCAGAATAATGATATTTTTCTCACTTCAAAGCTCTTAAAGCGTCACGTTTCCTTCAGGTAACGCGATGAGAAGAAGGTATTTTATCCATCATGCACTTTTCAAACAGCCTCAGGACCATAAAACACGTCGTAAATTTAGGTCTGTCAGGGAAAAAGGTCAAATGTCAAGAAGCAAACATTTAGAAAGCGAGTTCAGGGATGTCAAAGATGGAGAAAGCTTTTAAACGAGGAGTCTGAGACTACAGATTGTTTCTGTTTCTAAAATAAGAAGATGCTGCTCTCAGAGAGACTCGAGGAGGCTGGAAAAATGAGACAAAATGAGGAGTTTTTCTCACCTATTGAGAGGAAGAAGAGGAAGAAGAGGAAGAAAACACGCTGTGTGGAAGAAGAGGAGACACTGCCAAAGCCACAGACAGTGAAAAATGAAATAGGGTTTATATGGTGGCTCAGCAAAATGCTCAGATCCTCTTTATGGAAGTGGATTCCCGTGCAGACCAATGGGCCAACGAGCTCCTGAAATACACCCGGGCCCAGCCCCGATCAGCAAAACCGCCCTCCCTGCAAGACCACGCTGGAGAAACTGCAGATTCAATGTGTGTGTGTGTGTGTGTGTGTGTGTGCGTTAAATATAAAAGACGACAAACTGAGTCGGATTCTCTCTTCAACCTTCAGAGGGAGTTTGAATTCAAACTAAAAGTCCTCAAACAGCTTTAAAAATCGGCTCTTATTTCCCTTAAAAGCACCTTTAAATAAAAGATTCAGTTATTAGTCCTCAGCTACGAAGAAGCTAGCTCCGTAGCCTCCTGCGATATTTGATTCATTTGCCATTAGCTAGTTCGCTCAAATGAGGCGTGAAGAATTAAAATCATCGCGCGGTACCGACCAAAAAACACAACTTTTACGTATTTACAGAGTTCTTATAGCTTTGCTGCTGTTAGCTGAGCCAACTAGCTAACGGCAGCTACAGTTAGCAGCTACTTTAGCAACAAGTAAAGCTATCTATCAGGAAACTGTAAATAAAATACATAACGGAGGTTTATAACTTTATTTACTTCTTTTGGTATAACTCAGAGTTTGCTGATGGACAGATAACTTTACTTGTTGCTAAAGTAGCTGCTAACTGCTGCTGTTAGCTAGTTAGCTCAGTTAGCTCGTGCAGCTAAAGTAACACAGCTAACTGAGCTAACAGCAGCTACAGTTAGCGGCTACTTTAGCAACAAGTAAAGTTATCTGAGGTCATCGGAGGGAAAACATCTCTATAACTTTAATGTTTTCATCATCAATCTCAACCACTGCGACGTGATATAGAAACTGAGATGAGACAAAAGAAGTAAATTTCAGGACTTTGTGTTAAGTGCAAAGCTGAAATCGGATAGCTTAGCTTAGCTTAGCTTAGCTTAGCTTAAAGACTGGCAAATAGCTAGCAATAAATACACAGACCAAAAAAACTGTTCAACTTTTGGAACCATCAAAAGTTTATGTATTGTTTAAAATTAAATACAAAGCGTTAATTAATGAGCTTTAGAGGTGTCAATTCCCTCCGTTTCCAGTCTTTATGCTAAGCTATGCAGACAAATAAACACATTTTTCATATACTTTCAATAACGTTGAAATATTTCTTAAAGACGAAACAAGTTGATTTGTACTGAAAAAGCATTAAATATTCTCCATAACCGATAAGTTGATTGATAAGATAAAGATGATTCCAGTATGTATATACTGATTAATAGTAAAAAATACTTTTATTTTGAATTATTGCCATTTATTTTGTCTGTAGACGCTAACAGAATAATTTAATAGACTATTTATTTAATTGATAGTTTAATTCTTAGTCTTTCAGCCACATTTAAAGTCTAAAAGTTGTAATTTTGACATTTTAACATGCTGATCAGATAATTAAAATGAACATAAAGTTAAATGTATTTTGGGGGAAAAATGTAACAAACAACTTGATCCTTATTCCAAAACATTTATTTCTACTGACTCCGTGGAAACCTTAAGTACATTTTTAACGTTTCCCGTTTTATCTGCGTACATGATGATGGCGTTACTCTGTTTCAGTTCAGTCTCTCACGGCGGCGAGACGGTATCCCAAAAACAACCAAAAAACAACAAAATAAAAGTGTCTAAACTCTCGCCCGCTGTGCGTCCTGCTGGAACAACACTCAGTCACTCAGACCTCGGGACTCGTACTCCCCCCGCTGTCGTTCCTCGCCACTCCAGGAAGGTTTTAGGAAGTCTCGAACATCTTCTTCCTGTCTGCCTTATCCTCGATGTTCTTACGCCAGTCGCCCGCATCCACCACCTGCAGACAACAGCAACGTGGACTCAGTGACAGATAACTAATGATACAACAGCTTAAGGACATTAGTCTAAGTTTTGATACTTAAACATACATTTTATTTGTGAATTATTGAATAATTTTACCGCTTTACAGGTCATAAATGTTAAATTACCGGTTTAATCTTTTACAGTGTGTCACATTTTATGAGCTTTTTTATCTAAGCTTTTATTTAGTTTCTGGACTTTTCTCTAATCTTTCATTTTATTGTGAATTGTTTTAATAATTTTACCACTTTACAGATCACACAGGTTGGGAGTCGCTGGTTAGCGAGCTTATTGAGTGTTTAATTTAAAATGTAATAGAAACCAGTTACTAAAGTTAGCAAAAAAAACATAAATCCATGTTATTTTTGCAGATAACCGTTTATAAATATATTAATATAATGAATTTACTCTTTGAACACAGGCAGTAAAACAGACCAACGAGTCTAAAGTAAAAAGTCAAATTTTGAAATATTTCGAAGAAAAAAGTGGAACAATTTTTTTTAAATTTTATTAAATTTTTAACTTTAATGAGCTTGTAAAATGTGACACACTGTAAATATTAAAGCTTTTTTAATTGTAAAATGGTTCAATTTATTACATTTTTCACAAAATAAAATGAAATATTAGAGAGAAGTCCATAGAATAAATACAAATTTGTGTATCTGGACTTTGTTTTTTCCTATTAATCATCTCACAACCACTCAGATTCATCCGGTGACCCTCTGGAGGGGCCCGACCCCTATGTTGGGAACCACTGTGATGTGTCTGGACTCACCTCCTCTTTGACCTCCTTCTTGACCTGCTTCAGGTTGGATCTCAGGTCCATGGTCACCTTGTGTTTTGACCTCCCAGCAGCGGACTGAGCATGTCGTCAGCGGAATACGCACTTTCTTTCAGGGCGGGTTTCTTCACACCGGCCAGATCGACCACCTTCAGCTTCAGATCCTCAATCTGGAGGCAGAGAAACGTCACGTTAGTCCAGAACCGCTCGGGGAACATTAACGATGATTAACGACGATTTCTTTATTTTACGCTGAAGCTAAAGCTACAGTAACTGCTGAAAAAACAAGTATTTAAACGTACAGTATGTAG